GGGGGGGGGGTCGTCAGGGTCTGTAAAGCTCTGTATCTTCCCCGGGATTCTCCACATGAAGGAGCTGCGTCTCTCTCCTCCTCTGTGTTGTTCCTCGGAGTTTCTGTCCAAGGTGCTGAAATCTGCTGCTCCGCGGACAGGTCACGTGACTGCGCTTCCTCCCCCTGCGAGAGCAGGATGCTGCGCGCGCGCCAGCGGGCGCTTTTGTGCGCGTGTGTAGGCTACACACGGGGACACCTCAGTCCTCCTCATCATGAGCAGTTCGGGCTCATGAGGAAGGCTTTTCTAAGGCGGCTCTGCTGTAGCATTGCTCGCAGCGTGGAGTTCGTGCGGTTGAATGCGTAACTTTGACTCTCTACGTGCATCATTTTCTTCTTTTTTCTTTTCTTACGCCGTTGCAGACATTAGTGTGGCAACTGTGGACGGGCACACAGGAGTGGGCTGCTGCCCACCAAGTCTGACTGTGTTTCGGAGGTGCTGAGAAGAAGAACATGTAAGAATCCGCAGGCTTCCCCGCAGATTCCTCCCGGATTCACAGCCAACATGCAGAAAGGGATGAGACTCAATGATGGCCACATCACCTATCTGGCTCTTTTGGCGAAGAAGGATGGGACGAGGCGAGGTTGCCTGAGTAAGAAAAGCTCAGACAACACAAAATGGCATTCAAAGTGGTTCGCTTTATTGCAGAATATGCTGTTTTATTTCGAAAACGACTCCAGCTCACGCCCCTCCGGACTGTACCTGTTGGAGGGCTGCGTTTGTGACAGGGCACCGTCACCGAAACCGTCTCTGTCAGCGAAGGAATGCTTAGAAAAGCAGGTAAGATATTGATCACCCGGGGAGCTCCCATAAGTCTCACTGACTGACACTGTCAAGGTAATCCGTCTCAGTGAGCGGACACACTCAGTGATGCTGCTTGTTGTGATTATCTTGATGGAGGAAACTTGCTTTTATCTGATGTGGCTCTCTGTTGCAGCGACATTCATGGGAGAAGGTGTTTTCGCAGCAGAATTGCGTCTAAAACGACACAGTTGCTGTTTTTATCCTTATTTATCACGCAAACAATGTCCCAGAGATGTTCACTTGACGTTCAGTGTTACGTAATGGCGTCATCCTAACTGATTGATTGTCTCGATTCTGCACTAAAATAGCTTCGCAGCTTGCCTCTAACGTAACTCAACAAATGCACGAAATACAAACACACACAGTGGGTTGAACTCAACAGGATAGATGCGATTCTCGGTGCAAACTTTGCAAACACAGGAACTAGTTTACCTCTCTGCACTTCTTTCCTCGCTACAGTCGTAATATGTGTTTGTATGTAAGAGTATGTATGTATGTATTTTTAGACGTCTCAAAGGTTCAAGGGTCGCAGCTCATATGTAGGGAGTAAACTTAAACAGCATCCAAACTTTGCAGGTTGCCATCTTGCGGAGGAGAGCTGCCCCCTTCCCTGTCGTTTTGACGTATTGATTTAATTCCTTGTCTTGATATTAATAGCATCCTACCTTGGCAACTGCGTCTCCCCGTTTCATAGCGGCTTGGTTCATTTGATAGCTCTCTCATTATCACGGGGTTGTTAACGGCAGCCATGAATGAAAACCAAACATGTCCCAGGCATGCTTTTGTTTCTCAGTACGTCCCCCATTCGTTTTAATTCCTCGGGCATTTAGTGCCATGGATTAACATGTGTGAGGGCTAAACAATTTCCACTGTTTTTTTTTTTTTTTTGGTTGTTTTTTTTATGCCAGTATAAATAATCTCAGCGAAAGCATGGTTGCCTCTAGCGAAACAGTTAGGGGGGGTTAGGGAGGCTGCTGCTGCAAGAAATAAACCTTGTGGCATAAAAGCATTTGAGAGGCAGAGAAGTGGTCAAGCTGCTGTGAGCTATGACTGCAGTCACCTTCTGAAATCTGCTCTGCCAGCTGCAGTCTCCTCTGCATTCCCTGCAGCAGAGCTGATGAAGAACTGAAGTTAAAAAGTCAAAGTTTCATCTGTTCAGTCATCATAATATTTGTTTGTCAGGCAAACAGGTGGTCGTTTTCCCCCCACTAATGCCATTAACATGTTCAATTTGGCAGTTGCCATTGGATGAGAGACATTTTATTTTACAGTCTTTTGAGTGTATGTTCGTTTTCACTGTAAATGGTGGAAAACCTTGTTTTGTTTTGTTCCACTTTTACTGTATACCAACAAAGCTGCACAACAAATGAAAGGCAACCAAGTGCAAACTAGCACACAGCATGTTTGCAGCATGGCATTGGAGTGTTTAGTCTTTTTTAAATTATATTTTTCAAAAAATACAAAAAATAACATACAAAACATTGATTAACCCATTGTGGGAATGTTTGATAATATTTGCACATATTCAGAAATTTAACGTTTACCCATCTTTTATGAGAATCTTCCCAATTATTCAGCTTCTATGGGATGAAAATGTAGGTAGTCCGGTTGTGAGTTAGTTTTTCCTGAGTTATAATATTTATATTTTACTGTATAATCTCTAGAAAAGAATTGTCTACAGACAAACAAACAACAACTCCTACAGTTACTGGTTTCCATCAGCTGTACCTGCTGACTCTGTCCATGGTGCTGAACTCTGCTGTCATGTCATGTTCTTCAAACACATGCCCTCATTTTTGTCTTGTGATGGAGTTAACAAAATGAAGGTTTTTGGGGATACAGACTTAGCAGGAAAAATACATACATAATCCTAAAAAGTAATATCTTGCAGCCATGTGAACTTTGGCTGTCCACTCAAAGTTGCAAAGGACAGTTTTTTCCTTTTTTTACCAAAGTAGTTGTCTAAAATAAATCAGACCCTAATTAATGGTAGCAGATCAGAAAAAGCTCGCATTCGTCATATGTGTTGTTTTTGGAAGGCATGGACAAACAACCTTCTTTATCGTTATGAGGACTTGCTGGTCACTCTCTTGGCATAAACTATTAAACTTTAGTCACTGTAAATTCGGGGTTCTGGGAATGAAATATGGACTGAGCGACATCAACCATGACAGCTGTTCATGCAGGCTGCTCTGGTGAATTTATTTCAACAGTGAATTAAATGAATTTGAAAGCCTTCAATTAGCATGACACAGTCTTCTGTTCAGCACGTGTCCCTTTACATAATATGTGTCAGGAATAAATTCTCTTAGTTTTGTGTTATTTGTGTGTGTGTGTGTGTATGTGAAAATTTGGTGTATTAAATGTGCACACGTATATAAAATTTGGATGTTCGGCACACTTTATCACGTGCAATCATTCATGCCAGTGTAATACATATGTGTCCACATCTGTAGATCTTGTGGGACTTTTGTGCATGGCTTGAAGTCTATATTTGCCTCACTGTGTCATCCCGCATACGCCGATGTCGATCTATAAAAGGTGAAATGAGGACAAAAAGAGTAATCAATGCTTCAGGTGTCTGAGGGCATACAGATTTCCTTTTCACTTTCTCCACTCTGGAAAAACAACAAATGACACTCGAGTCAATGAGCAGACTGCAGAGGTCATCCGAGGCAATACTACTGTAGATTTCTGACATTAAACCTGTTACATATGCAGATTACAACAGATTCCACATTTCTTTTGACGTGTTTGTGGTGGTTCGTGCTTGTACGTCTGTGTGTGCGCGTGTGTGTGTCAGAGCTGCAGGAGAAGGGGCCGGGCGAGTGCTGGATCTTATCTGTGTGTGACAGGGAGAGGGACAATGCAGCGAATAGATGCCAAGCCAACTGCCACCTTGCAGGGCTACAGCGCTTTTTATAGCCCTCACTCCTCAAAAAGGCAAAAGATCTTTCTCTCCCTCCCTCTCCGTCTGTCTCTCCGTTCTCATTGTATTCTTTGGAGTGTTCTACTTTTTAAATGTTCTTATTCCCCATTTAGAAGGCGAGCTACGTTTAAGCCCACAGTTACTATGGCAACCCCTATTTGCATCTGAAAAAGTGCATTTGAAGGGGCCAACGAAATGTGCAACAACATGCCTCGGCATTGTGCTTCACTTAGCAAGTACAGCAAATATGGACATATGAGAAATGTGATGCGGGTCGTCTCAGGTGGTGGTGGGGGTTTATTATATCTTTGGCACCATGAGTATCAATATTCCAGATATATTTCCAATTGTTTTGAAATGTGTAGTGTCTAATGTTTAATGCATTTTTCTTGTTTCATGATTTCAGTTTCAATTTATACTAGCTACACTTTCAGTTCACTGCAGATGGTTCAAATTATGTAATAAACAAACATTACCATTATGTACTTAACCCTTGTGTTTTGTTTACATTGGTTTTACTTTCCCATTGTTAGGGGTCCCATAGCCTCCGCCACTGTATTATTATTATTATTATTATTATTGTTATTAATTTTATTATATTATTATTATTATCATTATTTAATCATTATTTTTATTTTCTTCTGACCTAGAAAAGGCGTAACATTTTCTTTTGCTTGAAACTGGATTTACACATTTAATGGAGATGAAAATGTGGAAATGCCCATTAACGATCCAGTGTGTAACATTTAGGAGGATCTGTTGGTGGAAACTGAATATAATATGCTTACCTATTTTTTCATTAGCGTATAATTGCCTGAAAATAAGAATCATTATGTTGCTGTTACCATAGAATGAGCCCTTTATAGGCTGCAATGTTGAACCACCACATTTCTACAGTAGCCCAGAAAGCACAAACCAAACACTGGCTCTAGATAAGGCTGTTTGCGTCATTTGCTTGTTTCTTCTGCACTCGGAAGGGGAGGGTGAGGCGAGGGTTGCAATCTGCAGCTACAATGCTAGATGCCACTAAATCCACCACACTTGTCTTTTAAGCATTGTTATTACACCAAAGAGGAAACACCCTACAGTGTTTACCCTACAGTCAGACATTGCTTATTTTTTAGAATTAGAATTGATCTGATGGTCAAACAATTTCCAATAACAAAGACTTTTCGGGGATTTGGGAGGGTATAGTGCTATGAAAGAAGTACTGTCAGCACTAATCACAAATGACAGACCTTTTTCAAAGCAGATATTTTGACATGAAATAGTAGGGTAAACACATTTTTTGTAGCAGACTCTCAAACTCATAATAAGCAATCCTTATAAAATTAGAAAAGGTATAAAAACAATGTTAAGTAGGTTTTGGGAGTTGTTAATGAGGGCCTGGGGTCTCCATGATCCCAAACTGAACATTATGGGAGCTGTAAAGTAAAAAAGCATGGGAGCGTTTTAAAGTCTACTTTTTTATTTATTTTTTTAATAAAAAAAAAAATCAAAGAGGTTTTTAAAGACAAAATTGCTCTGAAGTTTAACAACTGAAAGCCATGTTTATGATCATCATTACATAAATAAATATGTTTCATCTGTTTTCTTTTTCTCTATTCCAGAAGAAATTTAGTAGTTTTTGTTCATAGATTTTAAACAAGGATTTACTACTGGCTACGTTGTTTCACTTACCGAGAGATAATGTCTCTGTGGCAAAAAATGTAGTGACGTGGAGCTAAATATAGCTGCCTAAAAGGCTTGACACACCAGCTCACAGGAAGCGGGAGATGGGAAGCACATTATTGACAAAGGCCCATTCTGCTGCTCATCAGGAAATATGGAACATTACTCCCCTTCACAAATGATTTGCTCTTGGCATTTGGGAGGGATAAAAAATCCAATATATTGGATTTGTGGGGGTCTATTTACAATGCATCAGTGTTATATAATTTGATGCGTTTCTACCACAAACAGGCTGTCTGTACTATTATCACAATGACCACCACTTTGTTGATTTGAGGATTTTTATCTGCTAAGCCTATTAGAAAACAATTCCACATGCATTTGCCATAATTGCCATAACTGAGCCTTTAAGGCTGTAGGGTCACTGGAGATAATTGGTGAGGGAGTAAAAAGGGGTGATGATGTGTTTGTGTCACTAAAATGGAGCGAAATCACCGGGACGAGGCAAAGCACAACTAAACAAAACATGGCGTCAGTCGAGAGGCTTCCACCAATTCAGAGGTGAGTTGCCAGGTTACAGACTGAATGCACAGAGGCTTTATAATGAATCTCTCAAGACTTTCCCCTCAGGATCTCTCTCCCTCTCATCCACACACATGGACATGCATGTGTGTATATATACAACTTCACTTCCAACAAAATGCAGGTTTAAGATAAAGCTGGTCAATGATGACGAATCATAGATGTTCCTGCAGTTTATCAAGGAAACAATGTACATCTTTTACTCTGTAACTGTTTAATATATTCTCATTGTCTCATTACTTGCTGAACAAACATTTGACTCTTCCTATGATGTCGTCTTTCAGTATTACTTCACTGTCACGTTTAATCATGACAACCAGAAGGCTCTGGAGCTGCGCACAGAGGACGTCAAGGACTGTGATGAGTGGGTGGCTGCCATTACACAGGCCAGGTACTTCTCACACATGACCCTTCACCAACATACACACATTCAGCCAAGGATGTTCTTATGTTGAGAATATTTGTGTGTTTGTACCCTGTGATGTAGCCCTGTTTAATCAGTGACTGTGAAAAATAAGTATAACCCTTACCCTAGAAGAGGGGTAGGAAACCTGCCGGTCTTTAGCCCCTCTCCAGTGGCTCCCTGTGGCTTTGACAAATAGATTTTTTTTAAATCATTGTCGTAGGCCTAACATGATTCTTACATTCTCCAATTGTAAAAATCTGTAGCCATTACTCACCGAATATATTTTTTAAAACATTTCATCAACTAAAATATGCATCATATGTTATGTCCTGACCTGGCGCATTTTCCTCTGTTATTTATATTTATTTATTTATATTTTGCTGAACCTCAGTAGTGGTGGACCTATAGATTAGCACGTAATTCTTCAATTTATCGGACGGCATTAAAATCACCAAAACTGGAGATAAATCGTTTCCCCTCGACAGCATCAAACTGGTCAATTACATTACTATTAACTTCTTACAGTCTGATGTTTTAAAGTTCAACTGAAATTGGACCAAATCCTTTCAGTGCACTGGAAAAATGCACTGCTAACGTCATGTTGAAGGCTAGATGGCTAATTAGCTGCTCAGCACATTAATCAGCATCTAAACATATACCTGCAGATGTCACTTTGGTTCACCATGCTGGTGTGGTCCTTACTCTTCAATACTACTAACAACACGCAGTCTATGTTGGCCTAGGTTACAGCGCAAAATGTCTACTCTGTCTCTCTTCCCTCTGCCAGCTGCTGTCAATCAAAGACAGATAAGCCCCCCAGGCCAACTGAGACCGCTGACAGTATATGGCTGAGACAAAAAGTATAATTTTCTGACCATTCATTTTTAAAACTTGTTGACTACAAAACGGGATTACTAAATGTGATTTAAGTTGGACTTAAAAATGAATAATATACAATCAGCTGTATCATAACAAGAATTAAATGTGAGGCTGTACTTAAGCACAGTGGTCCTTTGAGTGAGTATGGCTTACAATGACAATGTTAACAAGCTGATGTTTAGATATGTTTACTGTTGCGTAGCATGAGGGACTAAAAAATTACAGCTGAGGTATTTAGTAAACCAAAGTATTGGACAATCCAAATTTGATCCTAATCAAGAAGACAGGGGATCAGCAGTCATTCTGATTCATACTCTTGGAACCATGGAAACATGATTTGTACAAAATCTCATGGTAATTTACGTAACATTTGTTAAGATATTTCTGTCTGTGTTGGGCAAAGCCGCCCGTAAAATCCTGCTACTAGTGTGGCTAAAAAAACATTTGTGTTAGTTTCAAATGTCCGATTAAGTCTAATTCATTAATTAATGGCGGCTTTATACTAAACACATAAGAACGAGAGTAGAATAAAGAGCAGCACAAAACAGCTGGCAGAATGGAAACAATCTTAATATTAATTTGATAAAACAATATTCCTGTGTCCTCTCAGATATATTCTGCCAGGCTTCAGATTTTCACTAGATCCCATTGCATGCATGACGAGGAGCTCAGTGCATTTTCAATTTTATCGAACTTTTGCCACACAACCTGATGGAAAGTCAACGTAGGGCGAAGTGTTATGGCTTGCAAAGCTTCCTGGGAGAATGCAGATGCTCTCCTCTTCGGAAGTAATGGCCTTGCTCTGTTTAATGTTATACTTTTCGTTTTGATGTGAAAGCCCTGTTAAACAGAGAACTGAATCTTTTAAGATTCCCTCAACTGGATTATTGTGTGGATTCTTGTTATTATTATAATTTGAAAACCTTTATATAAATTAATAGAATAAAATGTATTATTATGAAACTTGATGCACGGAGTCCTGAGATGTATAATGAGCGAAATGCTCCTCTAAGATTCAGAGACAAAAGAGGGTCATGAAAACCAAGCAATACAATCACTCTAAATGTCAGCAGTGTGCATTTGTATGGCGAAAGGTCAATTGATTGGACTCATTCAAGATTATATTGATTAATGCTCAGTCAAGGCCGCAGCACTTACTGTACAAGAGTAAGTTGGCCTGTAAGAATGTAATACACAGCAGGGCAATGAAAATCTGTATTTACATATCAACATATTGCTTTTTTTTCCAGAGGATTTTGATGTCTGGATGCCATATTCTAATACTTTGGATTTCTTTTTTGCTACTTCAGCACATTTCAAATTTAACAAGCTGTTTTGCAAGGTTGAATCAAATTAAACTGAAACCCTTTGTTGAACTGGGTAATGTACAGAATTATTGCTCATGCAGACCCATCCTTTGCACATGGTTTGCTTAGCCCACAAGTATTTGAAGAATTGGTTGTGTAAGTGCCTGCTCTCTGTGCGGACGTAAGATCTCTGGTTCAAACACATGCTGATCAGAGGTCTGCTTTTGCTTTGATAAATCTATGGAGAGCCCATGAAACATGCGTTAATTAGGTCCTTACAATGTCTCTGTGTGTGTCTGTATAGTTACAGGAACCTGGCTACAGAGCATGAGACCCTCATGCAGAAGTATCTCCATCTACTCCAAATAGTGGAGACAGAGAAAACGGTTGCCAAGCAACTTCGACAACAGATAGAGGATGGGGAAATCGAGATAGAGCGGCTAAAATCAGAGGTAACTTGCCTTGTAATTTCACGCTAGTAATACCTGTGTATGTGTGAGTGTTTGTGTTTTGTCTTTCTGTATGACACACAGTGGAGACAGAGAGAGAAAGTAGTCAGGCACAGAGTATAAAGACAGAAAGAGAGAATAGGACAAAGGTCACGACCCAGATTACAAACCGCAATGTTGTGAGTTCGTGGCGAGCATCGTAGCTTGCAGCGCCCCTGGGATGTCCTTGTTAGAGACTCGGCAATACTGTTGAGTGTTTTGTATCCTAATTATTCAGTCTAAACTAGATCAAATGCATCTCTCTTTAATGTGCTAATGGCTAGCTCCAATTCAATTGAATGTTTTCAATATGCATGAATCAGCTTCTATTGTACTTGATACTGCAGTCCGCACCAGAAAATGATAATCATCTGTCTCACTTTTCATGGCTAAAACATGTACTAGTAATGGATTTTGGGTTGTTTTGTTTAATTCCAGTCCTTTATTTAAGCTGTCTATTCTTATTCATACACTGTGTCATTCTAATGGAAGTAAATGAAACAGGAATGAATAAAATAAAATAGGAAACATTTTGAACCAGCTGGTACAGTTTGTTCTTGTATAAATTCTGAAACCAGCTAATGGACGGTAACAAAGTTGAACAAAATACAAAAAACAACCCAGAAACATTAATAAAACATTGATAATAAAAACACCGAGAGGGGTGAGAGAATATGACATGATCAAGATGATGAGTAGGATTTTAGCTACATACATTATGAGGTACTCATCTTAGTCCACTCAGCAAAAGCAATGTTTGATTTGTGTTGAATTTCAGATTGCTGGACTACTCAAGGACAATGAAAAGATCCAGTCAAATCCAGAGGTACCTCCCAGTGAAGACGACACAGAGATCAAGAAGATCAAAAAGGTGAGATCTGATTGTTTTGCTGCTGTGCACTTTTAAAGAAGAAAGCCTGACTGACTGCAGTTTTCTTGATGAAAAACCAAAGTAAGGACAGGCGAAAGGGGGGAGCTTTTATGTAAAGTTTGATCTGTTCATCATTGATTGATATGGTTTCCTTTAAACAATAAATCAGTCTGCAGTTCCCCTCAGGTCTACAGAGCGTTTTAGTGTCTTTCAGCTCATTCTGGCCCACAACTTTACTGAATTTTTAATTTCATCTCATTTAGCAACTGAAGACGTAGATGTTCTTCTCAGGGGTTGGTGGAGAACAATACAGAGCTTAAAAGAGAATGAATATTGGATTTACATAAAGCATAAAACACGTCTCGAAAATAAATGCTAATGTCTGCAAGATGTGTAAATAGGCTACAACTTTTTAAGGTAATAATGTGTCAGTGTTGTGATTACAGCTTGTTGTGCTGCTCCCAAATGACCAATTAATACAGGTTTTAGTACAAATAGGAATTCTCTAGCTGCTAACAATGTGACGGCCCAAACAAGAACTAGCTTTAGCATGTAATGTTAAGATACAAATCTGACTGTTATTCAACTTATGGTGCATTTGTGCATTGCTCTTCATCATGTGAAGTTGTAAATGGTTTACTACCAGGAAGGATTGTCTACATCTAGCGATGGCTTTTTTTACTGGTCCACGTTAAGTGACATTTTAAGTAACACTTCCAAAACCCACTGGATTACCTGAGAAATGTATAGTCACAAATACATACATGCAGACACAAAAATGTAACTTTTGTATGCTACCCTTTTTTATCACAGGTCCAGAGTTTCCTGCGAGGTTGGATTTGCCGCAGGAAGTGGAAAACCATCATCCAGGACTACATCCGTTCACCCCACGCTGAAAGCATGAGGAAGAGAAACCAGGTGGTGTTTAGCATGCTGGAGGCCGAGGCTGAATACGTCCAGCAACTCCACATCCTGGTTAACAACTTCCTGCGACCACTCCGCATGGCTGCCAGCTCCAAGAAGCCGCCCATCACACACGATGATGTCAGCAGCATCTTCCTTAACAGGTGTCTGGTTGTGAGACTGGTTGTGATAGTGGTGTGACTCGGCACAGTGAGAGCTGCCAACACTTGTGAATGGTAGAGGGAGAAACAATAGCTCATGACCACCGTTTTGCTTACTTGTTTTATCAGTGAGACCATCATGTTCCTCCATCAGATCTTCTACCAGGGTCTGAAGGCCAGGATAGCCAGCTGGCCGACACTGGTGCTGGGTAAGAAAGACACAGACAACACTCATAGTTGAACATTAGGCTGTTTTATGTTGGGATTATTTACAACCTGTTTCATTTTAATTAAGATTTAATAATGACACAGACTGTCAGGCTGAATTCAGAGTATAAATGAGTACACATCACTGACTGAGAATTGAATTAAGGTGTTTGCAGATACAATACAGAGTGACTGACTCTAAACATAGCCTGTGTTTTTAGCTGGAGCTCATTGTGCATTATCCCGGTTAAATAAAATATTTTATGATTACTGCACAGGAAATATCTTGTATCAACAAAGCATATTGTATATGTTCATGAAGATGTCTGCTTCTCTTTACAGCTGACCTGTTTGACATCTTGTTGCCTATGCTGAACATCTACCAGGAGTTTGTGAGGAACCACCAGTACAGCCTGCAGATCCTGGCCCACTGCAAACAGAACCGAGACTTCGACAAGTTGCTGAAGCAGTACGAGGCTAAGCCCGACTGTGAGGAGAGGACGCTGGAGACCTTCCTCACTTACCCAATGTTTCAGGTAAGATTCCGGGCTTACAGTGGGCATGACCGCACTATTATGACACAATCCACACACAATTTCATATAGCATACTGCGTCATTTGTTAAGCCTGTAAATTAAATTTTTTTAGTGCAGTGTCAGTACCCCTACACTACCCTCCTTCATTCTATTTTTTAAAATTCAAAAGTATGTATTTGATTTTGAAAAAACGTATTGCACCGGAAAAACTGCGGTAAAACGTATATGCAATATTGTATTAATTTAGAAAAATACTGACCTGTGTTGTGTTTTTAAACATACATCATATCACACAGTCTTGTCTGGCAAATCACAGATGAGTTAGACGTTTGTTATAGAGCCAAAAATCTATTTCAAAATTGACGCATGCCCATTGGACAATATTTGTCATTCTGATTTGGTCTAAACCGGACCAGTGATTTCTCGAAGATAACATTTAATGTAAGTATAAAATGTGTTGACTGTTAATCATAGCTCCCCTATCAGGGCAACAGGTGTAGAATTTAAACACCAAATTGCATCGATTCAAAATCTTTCCATTCATCATAATCATATCAGCAATGCAGCAGTTATGGCCCTTATAATGCCAATATTAGGCAATCAATGTTTTGTGAGAAAATTAATAATTATATATATAGTTCTTGAATTGGAGCATTGTAAGATGTCAGAAATTCTGTGTTGTAAAGAACAACTTGTCTCAGGTTTCTTAAACTTCAGTAATGAGATGACGTGCTAACAGCAGTTGCACTTTTATCCAACAACCTGTGTTCAGTTGATGGACGAAGCTACTTCAATAGCAAAACAATGACGCAGAGACTCACACTTAAAGTGAAGACATAAAAGTGGATATTGTGGTGACAAAAGACATATAGTGTTTCATGGAATATTTATTGAAAAGGTTTTATGTGACAAGTGAAAGTGAACAGAAGTGCCATTGTTATAAGCTTTATGTTAAAAGAGAGATTCAAAGTCATAGTCAAAGTGACACATTTTTATTTATTTCAAAGATGATCTTTCTGCCTTTCAGACAAACCCTGGACAGGCTTTATGACCAATTAAATACCAGTCCAAGGCCATTAGAATCAAGATGCTTGACACTGCTTCATAAAAAGCTTTAAATCTCTTGACCTTTCAAAGTTTAAAGTGCATGTATGTGTGTAACACAAAAAGATTAAATATATACTAATTTCAATAAGTGGTTCAAACATCTCTCTGTTTCTCTCTCAGATCCCTCGTTACATCCTGACATTGCATGAGTTGCTGGCTCACACCCCCCATGAGCATGTGGAGAGAAACAGTCTGGACTACGCCAAGTCAAAACTGGAGGAACTTTCCAGGTAGATCAGTCAGTCAATCAAGCAGCTGAAAATGAACCGTATGTTGTATACTTGATATGTTACAGCTCAAAGAAACTTCAAGAGCTTTCTAGGATTTAATCAAGAATTGTATTGTATCTGCAAGCTAACTGCATAGGTCATTAAATTGTATGTTTGTATAACTATGTCATCTGCAATTAAATTGTTTTTGTTAATCATTCATTTAAACAAGTCTGAGATTACAGTGTGTATTGAAAGCATTAGCGTGTGATTTTGTGGAGGGATACTGTATTATCAATGAATTCAACTTTAACTGTGAAGTACCTGATCACATGATTTTTTTTTATCCTTTCAGAATCATGCATGATGAGGTGAGTGAGACGGAGAACATCAGGAAGAACCTAGCTATTGAGCGGATGATTGTGGAGGGCTGTGAAGTGCTGCTGGACACCAGTCAGACATTTGTTAGGCAAGGTAAGTGTGTTTCATAGGTATATTGGTTTGTTTGACAAGACAATTGAGGGTAAACATTAAACTGAAACTTTATTCAAGGAAATGTATTTAATTTATCTAATCAGGGATTCCACATCTCAACCCACAACACCAAAAGAAAGGTCACGCAACCAGCTGGACAATTTACTCAAAAACTGTAATCAATTTACTCATTGCTCATTGAAAAAGTAATTACATGACTACTAATTAAGCAACAGCAAAAGTAATGCATTACATTAGTAACAAAAGTAAAGTAATGAGTATAGTTTACTGTTGTTACTCAGCCCAGCTCAGTCAAAAGTGCTTTTAAACAACTCCAATGTGTAGAAAATAGAAATTGAGACATTGTGGATTAAAACGGCCTACGATTTGGAGGGATTTACTGACAATGACATTATTAGTGTCTTAATGGAAACTGTTGGATGAGTCAAACACAAATGTACAAATGTGTACTCTGTTAGATCTAATTTAGGAGTGACAAGTATTACCACCTGTGATGGATATTATCATCCTACACAAGCTTAAATGTCCCAAACAATATGCCAAATGGGGCCAATACTGACAAAAGTGTATTACAGTAAAATATAAATTGCTCAACATATATTAAACACCATCCTCACACGTCTCTCCTGCAGCCTTTTCTGTTGTGATGCATCACATGTACTCTCACCCAGGTGTTCAACACTATCTTCCATCTTTGCAGACATGTGAACAAAATAATTGATTACTGACGCACAAACACAAACCTGCCACAAATTCTAGTGCAACTGCAACAGAAGTTTGAATAATTAAACAAAAGATTTACTCTTGAAAATTACAGACACAGTAGGATTAAACATCCACACGTGATTATACAAGGGTGTGGACCTGAGGGAGTGCCATTTAATTATTCCCATTAAAGGCTTTCAAAGGTTAGACACCAATTATAAGATCAAGATCAAAGTCTGTATGCAAATCACATGTGTTTTCTCATGTGTTTTTGTGTGTGTGTGTGTGTGTGTGTGTGTGCATGGTATTGATACTCCACAGGTTCTCTGATCCAGGTGCCGATGAGCGAGAAAGGGAAGATCACGAGAGGCCGACTGGGCTCTCTGTCGCTGAAGAAAGAAGGCGAGAGACAGTGTTTCCTCTTCTCCAAACATCTCATCATCTGTACCCGTGGCTCTGGGGGAAAACTTCACATCACTAAGGTACAGTAGGACTGTTACCGAGACGATAAGTGACTAATACTAACAGATTACAACACAATAAATTGAAGTAAACTCTTAAATTATCTTATAAAAGAGATCAAAGTGGTAGTAGCTAATTCAAGTAATCCAGGAGTTGTAATTACATTACACTGGCATGAGATACTGAATAATAAAGCCTCGCATTTGGTCCAACTGTTATTGATGTATTATCAACCCTTAACATATTTAATCTCAAAAGGGTCTTTAAAAAAAGTGTTTAAACATACAGTATAATATACTGTAAAAGCAGGAACTGGAACTAACTAAATAAAAGACCATAAATGATACATAAAATGACATGTGATATAACCTAAATTAAACTAGTAATACAATTAAGACATTACCTTATTGATCTCCAAAGATGCAGGTAGCTTTTCTCCAGAAACTGTTTTAGTCACATATGCAAATTGTATGATATTGATTTTATGTTCTTAGCAACTGTAAATCATAGATCCAGAGTTTTCCATTGGTGGAGACTTTTACAAAGTCTGTTCTGTTTTCAGCAGCATTTGTTAAGACCTATCAAATTATACATACGCCTCCACACCGTTTATTAGCCGGTAATAAGCTGTATGTGACCTTTCAACCCTGTCACAGAATGGAGTGGTCTCTCTCATAGACTGCACACTGATGGAGGAGCCAGAGGGGACGGATGATGAGTGTAAGTTACTACATCACATTTTCTATGTTTAATACGTATATGTAGATGTTTACATGTACTGTGTGTAGTTGTAGACTACTACACACACTATTGCTATCATCTTCTCAAACTTTCAAACTTTACAAAAGATAAACTTGCAGCAATGGTCAGTATGTAACACAACCATGAAGTCTCTGAGGAGTAGAACGTCCTTTATCAATTACCCATAGCTGGCTACTTTCTTGTCAATAATTCATAAATAAATCACTTTGATGTCTGTCATTTTGTTTGAAAATTGATGAAATTATTTTGGTAGAAGAAAGAAGTCTTCAGATATAGAATTGTGTTTGTGGGTAGGAGAAGATTTTGTATTTTGAGTATTTTTCCTAATGTTAACCTGACTCATGGCACTTACATCATTTCTACCTTTTCCCCTTCACTCCCGCAGTAACTGCTGTGTTGGGGGTAGCAAAAAGTGAGTAGTTACAATAAATCAGTACAATAAAACTTGACAAATCTCTATAATAATCCTGTTTTACATCCACTATCCAGAGAGTTGTAGACTTTTTCTTCTAGAAAGATGTTGTTGACTCACTACTATCAAATTTAACCAAACGATCGCAGTCATAATTGTTGACTGATTGAATGGTGTCGGTCATGACTTGCACATGATTTAACCAAGGTAACCACAGTGAATCATTGTGAATAGTATAATAATGTGCTATGCTTTGCTTTCATACCACACTTTCCAAATTAGAGGCTGCAGATGGAAAACACATATCTGCTGCTGCTTTAAGATGAATGTAGGGATTTAATCTTCAGAAGGAGAAGGCTTTCATGCAGTGTAAACCAGTGTAAAGGCAGTTTTTTTTTGCAACAGATACTGGTAAGAATAATCTTTATCATAGTACGGAAAGCTTTACTGAACACGACACCTGTATTTATAATGTTGAGCTCAAATAATGGTCGGGGGATGTCCAGAATGCATCCCATTACTGGCAAGACCATCTGAAAAATCACAGCAGGACTCGCTATTACACAACTCCTTGATGATTTTTCCTCCTTGTACAGTAACACGCTAGGAGATTCTCATAGGATTTTTATTAATTTTCACATTTAATGTAAAATACATATATATGCATATGATTTCACATTAAATCTAAATTTGGCGCTCTCAGAGCTTTGTTTTTATTTTATTTTGCCATTTCTGTTTTCTTATTTGTTCCTCTTTCCTCTAATAGTGTTTTTTTCTCAGTATGATTTATTTTTCCCTGTTACAATATAATCAAGGTGTTGAATTTGTGCCTTGCAGCCAAAGGGGAGCGGAGTGGCCAAGACACAGAGCACCTGGACTTTAAAGTTATGGTGGAGCCCAAAGACGGACAACCCTTCACCGTCATCCTGGTGGCTTCATCCCGACAGGAGAAATCAGCGTGGACCAGCGACATCAGCCAGGTACGTGTCATTAGAATTTACAGCGAAGACTGTAGGCTGCCCTCAGACACTTCCTCTATATTATGAGAAAAAAGCTAGAAGGCCAGTGTTGAAACTTACATGAAAATGACAGTGGAACTTAGATTATTTATTAAGTTATTGTGGCTGCTACTATAAACAGCAATGACTAAACCCTGTGTTAATCTACACCAATTGTAGGTCAGTTGGTATGGAAGTGGAAGTTAAAGCATAATGAAATATATTTTGGGACAGAACATAATCATTAAAAAGATTGGAGCAGAAAAGCACTGCAGCTTATGGTCATTAGGGGTGGAAAGTTGTATCATCCGCAGGTTTGTGAACTCACTCTCCCTCTTGCTTTTTTCTGTCTGCTTGTCATACAGTGCATTGACAACATCCGCTGCAATGGTCTTATGATGAACGCCTTTGAGGAAAACAGTAAAGTCACCGTGCCACAGATGATTAAGTGAGAGTCGGCCACCATGCACGACTGCACACACCTAATACACATGCACAAACAGAGATTGTTATTGGCATTGCATAATCATGACGCAAGAAGATTTGTGCCCAAACTCACACGTTTGTATATTCTATAGGCTCTAAACTTAACCGTCATAACTATAACTGACCTAAAACTAATTTGACCTTTAGCCTTTAGTTTTAACTCTTAAACAACCCTTTAAAGAAGTGCTCACAAAGAATAAAATATAATTATAAGAGTACACTCACACTCAAACATTGAGCCCGGTCCACACAGCACATGTGAGCAGTGCGGGTGTGTTGCTGAACATCTTGTTTTTTATTTCAGTGCCCATGTTAACAGGTTAGAGCAGCCACACTTTACAGCTACATTTCAGCTGTGGCTGCAGCGACGCTTCACTAGTGGGTTGAGGTCTTGTATATTTTTTCTGCGAGCCACGCGTGGTTCTCAGCAAAAATAGCCAGTAACGTTATATCAGGACATAAAGTATACACCATTCACTACAGTGTCTATTTCTGTAGAATATGTAACAGACATGAAAAAAACTAACTTTTCTTTAACTCAACACCTTCTGTATCAAATTAAAAGCCCTCTAACGTTTCTGTGGACAGAATCCATTCATTTGTTAACAAGGCTTTTATTGTATTGTATTTATCAAAGGCAAGAAAGCTATGGCTGGCAGAAATGCTCTCAGTGTTGACACCACAGGTGTGCGAGCCACAGCAGTTCAGCAATCACACAGTGCTCATGCATACTGTGTGGACAAAGGGTTAGTGTTGCAGCTGAAGAAATTACCAGTCTCCTACTGTGTGTATGTATACACATCCACCAGTAGAAAATCTGGGCCCCCTGAATGCAACTCAGTGACTCTGACACAATACATGTCTGCAATACTTTGCATGTTCCCTTAATTGATTCTTTGAGCCCTTTCCAGCCTGGGATACCTTGTTTCATTAATGGCCCTTAGAGGCCAGTGGGACAGACTTACAAGACAGTCTCCATCAGTTTTTAGTAAGACTGTATAGACAATGCAACTTATTTTGAAGCTGCGTGTGAGGCTAGAAATACAATGTTTTGCAGAATGTTAGTGTGAGTCCACATTTTTCACATTTTATTTCTGGTGGTCTTCTCTGATAACTGTATAGTGTGTTTCCAGTAGGGAAACAACCCTACCTATAGCAATGTTAATGCTCTAATCTAATGCTCCCCACTGACCCGCATGTGACCAGAAAAGTATAATAACTAGAGGTGGGCTGCATAAGTAGAGGGAGCTAAATCCCTGTGAGTAACATTCCTAACTTCATTCCTAACTCCAACACAGGTCGGACACCAGCTTGTACTGTGACGATGTCGACATCCGCTTCAGCAAGATGATGAACTCTTGCAAAGTGCTGCAGATCCGCTATGCCAGTGTAGAGCGCTTGTTGGAGAGGCTGACCGACTTGCGCTTCCTCTCCATCGACTTCCTTAACACCTTCCTCCACTCTTACCGCGTCTTCACCAGTGCTGACGTAGTGCTGGACAAGCTCATCACCATCTACAAAAAGCCCATCAGTGCCATCCCTGCACGGTGAGTGATCCACTGAGTGAGTTGATTCTAAGAGGTTTAATCAGGGATTTTATGAGTTTACTGGTATAAAATTGTCCACACTAACCATATTTTAGTTGTAGGCTAACAGAGGGGGTTTGAAGATGGCACTTTGCCGTTGTGAACCCATCATTTTATTTCTTGTTCTGCAAAAACATGTGTGCCTGTGTGTGTGAGTACAAATTGTTTCATTTGTTTGATAATGAATGACATTCCCATCAGCCTAAGCTGTACAGTAGAGGTAAGTCCTAATTAGCAAGTGCTATTAGCATGGGGACATTAGTTAAAGGAGCACAACTGTGTCTGTTTAAAGGCCAGTGTTTGGTTTGTCTCTTCTGGGCTACTGTAGAAACATGGTGGTTCAACATGGCGAAAGGCAACCTCAACATCTATAGATATAGATTGCTCATTCTATGGTACAAAAACATAAAGATTCCTGTGTGCAGGTGATCATACAATAACAAAAACATAGTTATGCATATTCTGCCAAGAGATCCTAAATGTTACACACTGGACTTTGAACTATAAGACACACTACATATTGATTAAAGCTCACCAATCACAGGAAAAGTGTATGAACCAGCAGAAACAGCAGATTTCAAGTAAAACAGAGCATGGCCTACCTCTGTAGCAGCGTTTGCAATTGTGATTAAGTCACAGAAATGTTTCTATTATTTTATCTACCTCTGCATATTCTCTGTTAGAGTTTAAGTGGACGCCTTTAAGAAGCAGAACTAAAATGGTTTGTTACTTTAAACTCCTCCAAGCAAGTGAGGCCAATCCCTGTAGCTTGTGACGACTGAAAAAGTTTGAAATTTCCACACATTTCTCCTGAGGATGCAGCAACAGTGCTGTAATGGTGCAGTGAAAAGGTGGGACTTCCCCAGTGTCTCGATTTGTCTTTGCTCTCACGTGGACTGTCTGTAAGAAGCCCATCATGCTATCATAGCCTGTCCAGGTGTGAAGGGACTAGAGGAGAGGCAGTGAGAGGTCACATAAACACATCCACTCCTCTGTCTTCTGTCCACCATCACAGTTAATTGGGTCCTGCATCCACCCACCTCTGCCTAACCCCTCGTCTTTCTGATTCCTCACTGTACCCTTTTCCATTCTCTCACTTTTATTTTTCTTTCCACAAGTCTGACCATTCCTCTCTCCGCTGCGCTGTCACCATGGCAACCCTTCACTCTGCTGCAGGACCCCACCCTCTCCCTCTCTCCTCGTCTTCTGCCTCCCTCCCTTCCTCCCTTTCTCCCATCATCTGCAGCAACTCTACGGTATTAAATATTGATGGTGGTGTTTTGCACCCAGACCCTGCTCTCCTCTCCTCTCCTCTCCTCCCTTCTTTTTGTCTTACTCCTCTCTCTTCTCCTGCTTAATTATCTCCTCCCGTCTTTCCTCTTTCCTGCTTCATTTGTGTCCTCTCTTGACTCTCTACTTTGCTTTTTGCTTTGCTTTTTGTTTTTCATTTTCTTTTTGACTCCCCTTCTCTACTTTTCCTTTTCCTCTACCCTCCTAGCTTCCCCCTTCCTTCCCCTATTCCCATCTTTGTTCCTCTCATCTTTCTCTCATCTCATCTCATTTCATTCTTTTACAGTTTTTGCAAATTTAGGCGAGGAGACACAACATGGCTGCATCTCACACCATACAGGGCTTGAGGCTTCCCATTCGCCCACTCCCAGCCAGCAGCCTTCGCTGTGGTGGAATCCATATCCACTATGTTGCTCCTCTCTCGCCCCCTCCCTCTCAGCCTCACTGTTTTTGCCCCTGCTTTTTTTTTTGCACTGCACCTCTGTCTCTTTCTCTCACTTTCCCTCTCTGTCTCTATCTGGCTCCCCCTTTCTCTGTGTTTCTCTCTCCCCGTGTCTCTGTGGGCCTCCCCAGGGCTGGTTGCTGTTGGCAGCACCCGTGCCTCCCACACTGTCACTTGACATGCTATTTATAGGCCTTCAGAGGGGGTGGCTCTCAGTGCAAGGAGGATGCTGTCTTAAACAATGTAGCTTAAATAAAAGAGGCAGGAGCTCCCAAAGAGCCCTGTGGTTAATGTCTTCCCTCTCTGCTTCTATGTACAGACACCAAGTGCACCATGCACCCCCATTAGCACCATTTCTCCCCTTTCTACTATCTCCTATTCAGGTCACTGGGACTAATAACCCAAAATCAGAAAAGTGATATTTATTAGTAATGAAAGGTGCTCTTCTTAATGTTCATCCTTTTGTCTCTCTCCCTTTTCTCTTCTCTTTCATTCTATTCTTTTTTCTGTAGTTCTTTGGAGCTTTTCTTTGCCAGCAGTCAGAACAACAAACTCCTCTACGGCGAACCACCTATGTCGCCACGTGCCAGCCGCAAGTTCTCCTCCCCTCCTCCTCTCTCCATTACCAAGACGTCCTCGCCCAACCGCCGTCGCAAGCTTTCGCTCAACATCCCCATCATCACGGGGGGCAAAGCCCTGGACCTGGCTGCACTCAGCTGTTCTCCCAATGGCTATGCAAGCATGCACTCCACCATGTCGCCCTTCAGTAAGACCACCCTCGACATCAACAAGCTCTATGTGTCCAGCACCATGGCCAGCAAAATCTCAGACGATGGAGAGACCAAAGCCGAAGGCAAGACTGAGGAGTCTGTCCTCAACAAGCAAGGTCAGACTCACTGTCCGAGGGATTTTGCTCAGTTTTAATGAGGCTCACGTGTATTGTGGAAGTATTTTCCACTGCTCATATCTTGTATGTATCCTATGCTCATACTAGAGTAAATTTTACTGCCTGTCCCATTAAGGTTGTCCAGTATATTTTGCGTGTAAAGGAAAAATAATCAGCTCATTTAAACAGTATCTGTTATTATTGATCAGTAGTAATACATCCAAGTAACCATTCATGTCATTTTAATTTAAAAGACTATTTTTATTTTAATGCTGATGATTATCAACCATAAAAAATTGAAACTTCGCACTTGTTTCAGACTTTATGGGCCCTGGAGTTTACTTCATTTTTGTGTAGAGATTTTGCTGTCTTCTCTGCTTCAACATCTTTGCCCAGCTACCCTCAAGCCCAACCAGACAGTTATGTCCACACATTTCTTCTTCTTTCTACTTCTTATTCTCTGTCTTTTTTTGTGATTGTGAAACGCTTTTTTCCTGTCCAGATCTGTCGGTGAGAGAGGAATGTGATGAGGACCCAAGTCAGAGTGACGAAACAGAAGCAGAAATGTCTCCTCCCAAGTCACCATCAACACCCAAGAACGTCAAGTCCAAAAACTCTGGTACAGTATATTTTGTCTCTCCGTCACTCTCTCCGTGTTGGGACCCAGTGTTGACCTGTTTAAACTGTTCTTTAACTAAAACCCTTTAAGAATGTCTTGATCAACTTTTGAATCCCAACCCACCAGTTAAAAAAATAAATGAGTTGGCAAGAATGTTTAGTAACTTGGCAAGAATGTCAGAGCTGGCTACAGTAGCTTAGTGCTTGATGCTAGTGACATACAGTACTTGCCAGCGGAGTGTCTTGGCGGATAAGAATATAACCAAATAAAACCAATAATAATAGATCATGTCAATAACAAAAACCATTGGTAACATGAAGCACATTTAACAGGCCTGCTTTTCTTGTGTTACACCCTCTGTGAGGATTTGAATGAATCATTCCAACTGGCAGATTACATGACTTAACTTGTCAGAAAACCAGATAAGATGAAATGAGCAGTTATACTGAAATGAAACTGAAATTTAAAAAGAGCAATTGTCCAGTGGAACTCCAGTGAAAAGACCTGTACAAGAATTAACACCAGTTGGCCTTCAGATTACAGGTCAGAACGTATATTACCTGACTGTCAGCAGTGGCTACATAGAAGTATCAAACTTAAAGCAATAGTTCAACATTTTTGGATACAATTTTTGTGAGTGTTACTACTCTTATGTAAATCTTTCAACACTTGTAAATAAAAAGCTTTTGTCACCTGCCAGTGACCTTACCCTAGCTTGGCATAAAGGCTAGAAACAGGGGAAAAAAGCCTGGCTTTGTCCAAAGGTAACAAAATCCAGTACCAGTATCATTAAATCTTACTAATTAAGTTATATTTCATTTGTTTGATTTGTACAAAACAAAGTATTAATACATTGTGGTTTTATACAGGGTTATGTGCTGGACTCTTTCTTCACTGGGTGCCGTGACTTTTTTGTCTTACCTATTTCTCGGCAAGACAGGGAATAAGCATACTTCACAAAATGTTGAACTTTTGTTTTAATACACATTTACTCTGAGTCACGCAGAGTGAACATTTCAAGTACTGAGAAAAAGGACTTGTACAAAGCAGGGGAAACTGGCAGCTGTCTCAGCGTAGTAGAATAGGGTACATTTTAGGGGCAAATCATGTTTTCACTGGAAATGAATGATATCAAAGTGTCAGTGTGATTTTAGATCATTTTTTCCATCCAGCAGCATCAGATTGTGCGTGAGAGAAGTCAGAGAGGTTGAGATGAGAAGAGCAATTCAATGAGCTAAATAAACCCTGCTACAGTAGACTGTATAGCAAACTTTTTTCTGAAAATGACAAGCGTAACTACAGCCAAATAAGGTCTTGATAAAAACCACCCACAGCCTCCTGGCCCTCCCCATACAGCATAGAGAGGGAGCATCCACCCCGTAGGTAGTCAGGCACAATTCATCCCCAGTGTGTTCTCTTCCCACGGTGCTGGATACAAGGGAAGCCAGTGCCTTGTGTGAGTAGGTGGAAGGAAACCTTGTACCTTAGCAACGATGTGCATGTTCTTCTATACCGCCCCCGGCTGAACGGAGGAAGGCAGGGAGGAAGGGAGGGAGTGAAGGAGGGAGGCAGACACAGTGGAGTGTACACCGTCACTGCACGAGCTGCAGGACACACTGTGCTGGGTCTGTTTTAGCTCTCTGTTGCCCTCCACTGGTCATCAACTTTGTTTGATTATACACATATAGTCTACCCACAGCACCTCACAGAATGGACGAGCCACTGGCAATTTCCCTTATAGCCTTATCAGAAATGTAGACTGAAAGTGTCGTAATATTGGTGTTTGAAAATATGAAATGTTCTAAGTTTAGTGTAAGTATCCTTTAACCTTTTAATAGCAACAATGAAGAGTAAATTAAGAATTTAAGAATCTATGTTTTGTTTCCTTTCCTACAGAGTTTTCCCTGTTTTCCTTCAACAATGGCATGGTGGTGTCATCTTGCCGGGAGCTGGACAATAACCGCAGTGCCCTTTCTGCCGCCTCGGCCTTTGCCATCGCCACTGCTGGTGCAAATGAAGGCACTCCTACCAAGGAGAAGTATCGCCGTATGTCGCTTGCCAGCACAGGTCAGTCACATGAAAGGACCCTACTTCTAGTGACCAATAGAGAGACTTGTTAAGGCCTATCTGGAAATGTCCTGTGTCTGCTATTGTTCCTCTCATTTAGATATTACAGAATTGAAAGTAATCTAGTGTAAATCCAAGTATTGATTTGATAACAGATATCTCTGTAAAAACAGTTAATGTCTGGACATACAGTAAATCAGGTAAAATCATCATTGGTCCAAAGCATAAGCAATGTAGTGCCTCATGACCACCAGGGGGGGCCCAGACAAATTACAAATGTGAAGTCCTCTGTTAATTTTATGCCATCATTTAAGTATTTGTTTCATTTTTATAAATAAATAAACAGATGTTCCTGTACAAAGAAGCAAAATAACAAAACATAAAGGAAACAATGAGTATGCGGGTAAAGGTAATAGTGTTATATCATATAGCTGACTGACTGTAACTTTGTTAAACCTGGTTCCAGGTTTTCCTACAGACCAGAGGAATGGGGACAAAGAGTTTGTTATCAGAAGAGCTGCCACAAACAGAGTCCTGAATGTGCTGCGTCACTGGGTCTCCAAACACTCGCAGGTACAGTTCACCTTTCCCCTACTATCTTTTTTCTTTCTATCTTTCTATAGCTTTGCAGAAGAAAAACAACACTTCTGTAATGACTCTGTTGTTGTTCTTCAGGACTTTGAGCTGAACACAGAGCTGAAGATGCGGGTAATTGGCTTCCTGGAGGAGGTGATGCATGACCCAGAGCTCCTGACACAGGAAAGAAAGGCAGCTGCCAACATTATCAGGTTGGTTTTCTGTTATCATCGCTTGATTGTACATACAGTCATATATGACATGCCTGTTTGTCTGCACCCTGTAGAGAAAAGTTTCTGCAAGTATTTCTGTATGCATTTCTGTATGAGTATTTCTGATGCCAACAATCAATCATGGTAATAAAAACAGGAACTGGAGATGCAGTACATGGACCCAGGTCCTGGCAAAAATCATAGCCCTGGTAGACACAAAATGAACTTGGATACTGGCCGTGGTACAAATACAAGAAACATTTCACATTTTTTCTTTTTAAAGTATATTTTTTGGGCTTTTATTGCCTTTTTTATAGTGACAGCTAAAGGTAGACAAAGAAAGGGGGGCAGAGAGAGGGGATGACACGCAGCAAAGGCGGCAGGTCGGATCCGATCCTGGGCCGCTGCCAGCAAGGACTCAGCCTCGGTATATGGATCGCCAGCTCTACCCACTGAGCTAACCGGGAACCCAACATTTCACATTTTTTCTGAGCAGCACTTCTGAATTCTGAAGTATCTTTTGTTCCTCTGGTGAAGACAAAACTGGTTTTTGCATTGGTACAACATGGAAAAACTTGAGTGGAAACCTCAGCACGGTGTGTGATCTAAGCTGTCAGCATGCAGTATTGCTGCATTTTCAGCCTGTGGAGCTGAAGCCAAAAGTGCCTGTAACCTAAACTTAACAAAAAGAGAAATGAACACCCAGTGTACTGGGTCAAGTTGGGCACTTTTGGACAAGTGAAATCCATTTATGTCTATTAAGGTCATGGTAATTGTGGACAAAACTGGCAAATTATGGCACTTTTCTCTTTTTGCATGTAGGACTCTCACTCAGGAGGACCCTGGAGACAACCAGGTCACCCTGGAAGAGATCACACAGATGGTGAGAGGAAGATTACAAAAGCCTTTTAAGTACAAAAAAACCTCTTACTTCTTAAGATTACTGAGTGTCCTGTAAAAATGATTTGTGCCTTAGTTGTGAAAATTCTTTTCACTGTGTGTGTGCGTGTTTGTGGGTGTCAGGCCATGGAGGGACTGTAAGACTGAGCCATTTGAGAGCCACTCTGCCCCAGATAGCTCACACTGCTGGACCACCTGGTCTTCAAGGTCATCCCATACGAGTGAGTACACACGCATACATGTGTACAAACACACAAACACTGGCACTGAATGTTGGTATGTTTTTCATGGCTGATTATTTGAAAATACATATTTTTTTCTCCAGGGAGTTCTTTGGTCAAGGCTGGATGAAGAACGACAAGAACGAGAGAACTCCGTACATTATGAAAACAACCAAGCATTTCAACGATGTATGTGTTTACTCTGGTATTGTAAATATAAAGATAAATGTGTATTGTGTATGTAGATAGATAGATAGATAGATAGATAGAATAGATGATAGATAGATAGATAATAGATATAAGTGTAGATAGATAGATAGATAATTATCTATTTTTTCTTATTTTGTCAGATCAGCAACAGGATTGCCACAGAGATCCTGCAGTGGGACGATGTCAACATGCGATGGCGGTGATCGAGAAATGGGTGGCAGTGGCTGACATCTGCCGCTGCCTCCACAACTACAACGCCATGCTGGAGATCACGTCCTCTCTCAACCGCAGTTCCATCTTCCGCCTCAAGAAGACCTGGCTGAAAGTCTCCAAGCAGGTATCAGTCATTTCTTCCAGCAGTGAAGTTAACCAAAAGGATTGAGGATCTCCAGGTTTTAGCTTCATGGTTCAAGTAATCACTAAAGTTCAGTTGTCCCAGGCACCTTAACATCACCTGAAGGAATAGTTTGCCATTTAGCGGAATATGTTTATTTTTCTCTCTGGCCAAGTATTAGATGAGAGGATTGGTACACCTTTCATGTTTTGTACACTAAATATAAGGCTATAGTGACTTCCTGGTGTTTTGTTGT